AGAAGGGCGGGGGAAGGAGAGAAATAAATGAGAGAGATTAATAGGTACAAACTTTCAGTTACAAAACAAATGAGTCACGGGTATGAAGTGTACAGTGTGGGGAATACAGTCAATAATATGTAATATCTTTGTATGGTGACAGATGACAATCATACTCATTATGGCGATTATTTTGAAATGTATAGAAATAGCAAATCACTGTGTTGTGCACCAGGTATACGCACACACACGACAAATCTTAAAAAACAAATCACTTGGTGGTATTCAGCTGGCAGATAGGCCAGTCTGGAGGAGTCACTCACTTGTCTGGCACCACAGCAAGGTGAGCTGGAAGGCTCATCCCAGCTGGCACTGTTGATCAAAGCACCTCCACACGCCCCCTCCACATGACAGTTTCAGAACAGTTGGATTTCCTAAACAGAGACTCAGAGCACCCAAAAAGGATACTGCAGGAGGTCCAAGCAAAAGTTACTAGACTTCCTATTAAGTTTGGCAGTCCCTGAACATTATTTCTGTTGCATTCTACAGGTCACAGAAGTCATTAAGACCAGCCCAGATTCAAGGGAGGGGAATTAGGCTCCATCCCTCAATTAGGGGACTAGCCAAAAATTTACATTCACCTTTCACCTACCACAAGGCTAGGGGAATGGTACTGAGATTGAAGATCTATATGAAACTGAATGTGATGAATATCGAACTGTTCAGGATTCCTCCTTCACTTGGCTCCTACAACACTGGCAACCAAGATGAGGCATTTGAAATACTCTTCTCTGGTGAAGAGCAAATCCTAAAGAAACTGTTATCAGTTACTGAATGGCACCAGAGCAGCGCTTTAGTGAATTCACCATAGTCAAGCCCCACCCACTTACACAGGCATACAGAGCTTCCAGGCAGCATTTCATTTTAATTTAAAACTTTTTGTATTTTATATTATTTTTTCTACCAGTTTTATTGAGATATAATTGACACACAGCACTGGGTAAGTTTAAGGTGTACAGTATAATGATTTGACTTACATGCATCATGAAATGATTATCACAGTAAGTTTAGTGAATATCCATCATCTCATATAGATACAGATGTAAAGAAACAGAAAAAGATTTTGTGATGAGAACTCTAAGGATTTACCCTCTTAACAACTTTCATGTATAACATACAGCAATGTCAGTTACATTTATCATGTTGTACATTACATTCCTAGTACCTGTTTATCTTACAACTGGAAGTTTGTAGTATCTTTTGACTGCTTCCATCCAATTGCTCCTTCCTGTCAATGGTGGCCTCTGGTAACCACAAATTTGATCTTTTTTTTCTATGAGTTTGTTTCTTTGCTTGTTTCTTTGTTTTTGAAGTATAATTGATCTACAGCACTATATTAATTCCTGTTACCCAACACAGTGATTTTTTCCATACATTTCAAAATGATCACCATGATGTTAATTAGGATATGTCACCATACAAAGATATTACTTAGTTATTGTCTATATTCCCCACAGTGTATATTTCATACCCCTGATGCATTTATTTTGCAACTGGAAGTTTGTATCTCTTAATCTTCTTCACCTATTTCTTTTCTCTGCCCACCTCCCTCCCTTCTGGCAACCACCTGTTTATTCTCTGTATCTATAATTTTGTTTCCATTTGTTATGTTTGTTCATTTGTTTTATTTTTTATATTCTGCATATAAGTGAAATCATACAGTATTCTTCTTTCTCTGTCTGACTTATTTCACTTAGCGTAATAGCCCCTAGGTCCACCCATGTTGTCACAAATGGCAAGATTTCATTCTTTTTTATTCCAGCCAAACTATCAGTTAAGTGTAGGGGTAAATAAAAGTATTTTTAGACAAGCAAGACTTGAAAAAAATTATCTCCCAAGGATTTTTTCTTAAGAAGCTTTCAGACGATATGTTCCACCAAAACAAAGAGGTAAACCAGGAATGTTAGGGGGTAAAAGTGACTAGCAGGATGGAAAATAAAAAATTGAATGGCAGGAAAGGGTGGTTAGTTAACACTATAGGTATTGAGTTTTATTTTCCTTAACTGGAGACTATAGCTAACATTTACATTAGCACTTACCATATGTCAGTCACGATTCTCAGTACGTTAGATAAGCTGTTTTAATCAGTTAATCCTCACAGCAGTTCTGTGGGTTAGATACTTGCATGGAGTACGTGTCAATAAGAATTACTACTGATGATGTAATTTATTAATTTGACAAAATTGTATTAAGCTTCCTATGGTAGATTGTATTTTTCAGAATATTCAGTCTTTCATGCTCTTCCAACCCCACCCTCCCTGCCCCAGTCAAGAGATGGCTTCTCTGTCCCTACTCTTTGGACCTGAGTGGACTTCTCAGGCAAGCTTCCATGACAACACAGCAAAAGTAATGCCATATGACATTTGAGGCTGGATCCCAAAAAATGATACAGTTTCCATCTAGTTCTCTCACTCGGAGCACATGCCTGTGGAGCCCTGAGTGGCCATGTATAGTACAGCTGCCCTGAAGCCACCATGCTGCAGAGATCACGTGGACAGGTCACATGAAGTCAAGGAGAGTTGGAGCAGCCCCAGCTGTTTCAGTCCCAGCAGTTTGAAATTTCCCAGACCTAGTGAAAGACATGCGAACGAAGAAGCCAGACGACTCCAGCATCATCCGTGTCTCATGGCAGCCAGGTGAGAGACCCTGAGGGAGAACCACCAAGCTGAGCCCAGCCAAGCCCTAGACTCATGCGAGAGAACAATAGTAAATGATTGCCACCGTTTCATACTATGAAATTTGGGGTGTTATTTTATGATGTACTACAGTACCAGCACACTTCCAGATAGAAGTGGGGGTTTAGCTCAAACTTCTGAATCTCCCTCCCCAATACTCATTGAAATGACCCACGGCATGTAGAGGGGGAATTTTTACCCTAACTGGTAAGCTCCTCTCTGATACCCAGCCTGGCCGCTGGCCAGGAAGGAGGTAAGGACAAAAGCCAGCTAACCTTTGGGACAGTGGCTTAGCAAAACATCAAGAAGAAACCCTTGCAGTGGTGACATTCCTAGCCAGACGGATCTCCTTGCAGTCTTTTCAGGCTGCCTGAAGGTAATCAATCCTGTAGCCTAAGATATGAAAAGAGTCTAACAGCATCCATACAGACAGGCAGGGAGCCAAGAAGAATTCAGTCATCCTGGTTGGGAACAAATGCAAAGTGTGGATAAAATTTTAATGTTTAAGGATGAGTAAGCATAAAAATGGATATAAAACCATGAAAAAATCCTGGAACATAGAAAAGAAAACAGCATGTAAGAAGCAGAAGAAACTACTTTTTCAAGTTTTACAATACAAAGCAGAAGTAAGTTTTAAACCATCTCTACT